TACACGAATCCTCCCCTCCCGTCGTCCTGACTCATGCTCCCCTGCACAGGTGATCTGCACCTAAAATTTCCCTCTCTTCACTTGTATAAATTCTGTCACTCTCAAAATCCTGCTCAAGTCCCATGTCCTCGATGGTGTCCCCTGGCTTAGCTCTTGCTGAATACTCGGATAACTCACTGTCTAGATGGCTTAAAGTAACCTCTCTTCTCCTGGGTGTCCAGCAGCTTTCTCCACTTGAGCGTAGGAATATTGTCCACAGCCTTGTGTCCCTGATGTCACCTAATACATTGTGCTTTCATGTACCACATTAAATATCGACCAAATAATCTCTCATATTTCAGAAGGCACTTCAGAATTTTAGAAGGCCTCTAAGACATCATTTCAAATGCTAATTCTTGGGATCAGCAGATGGCGAAATGGACTCCCACGTAGTCAACCTTGGTTTGAGTCCTAGAACCCGCAACTTAAACTCACGGTGGGCGCATGTGCATGCATGCCCAAGAGCCCCAGAGGAAAATGTAGGAGAAGGGGTTGTAGTGTGGCCATACCCCCTAGGGGGTGATTTCTCACTTTCTGTCGCTCTGTCTCTCCAGTAAGTACATGTGCCCTACAGCAAAAAAATCTCTCTCAAAAAAAAAAAAAAAAAAAAAAAGCTAATTCTTATTATTTTGTATGTGGCGAAAAATAGTCAATAGAAAATGTTGATATCAGAATTTTTCACCTATGATTCACATGAATTCTTCAGGCAAGGTTCAAATATGTCAGTTTGGTGGAAGAATGAATTAATGAATAAATGAAATGTATAATTAAAAAAAAAAATAGAGTGTCTTGGGCCAGCAGATGGTGTGGAGATTAAGGTGGCCAGATTCCACATGGCCAGCTGCATGGTTTGAGTCCTGGAGTGAGTGATTTGAAAAGCACGCCAGGTACGTGTGTGTGTGCATGCCTAAAATCCAAGAGGAGAATGGAGGAGAAGAAACTATGGTGTGGTCCTCAACCCTGGGCGTGCTTTCTTACTATATACTCTCCATCTTTCTCTGGTAAACACATGAACCCTATAGCAAACTATAAAACAAAGTAAAATAAAATAAATAATAGCATCTTATCATTGATCACAAAGAAAAATTGTAAAACAATTCCTCGAATACAAAAAAGGATCATAGGTTACTAGCAACCATTCCTGGTAGTGCGCTGCACATTTGTATTACAAGTGCTTTCACAGACGTCATTGCGCACGATTCTATAAAAGCCAGCCACAGGAGACCTCGTCCACTAATGAATTGCTTGAATCAATTTAAAATATACTCTTTGTTATGGCAGACCAGGGGAAAAATGATTCACTGTGACTCAGGAGTCAGGGCAGGCTTTACTTCAGAGGAAACATCAGAGTTAGACTATAAAGGGAAAATGATGTTTTAGCAGAGAGGAAGGAAAAGGACATTCATCATACATAGAGAGGCATAACTTACATCGGGCTGTCCTTGAACCAATAAAATCTCATCTCCGTTGACACAGAGACCTGCCTTATTTCTTCTCCAGGACTGTGTGGTCCGTACATAAACAGGTCTTAGCTCGATCAGCTTAGCTCATACCTCTCATGCATAGCAGGTACTCAAGAAATGTTCGAAGAATGAATGAATAAATGAATTTAGTGTTTTGATTTAGCCAGCAAGCTCCAAAGCAGTGAACACTCAAGTAATTCTCAGTAGTATGTTCATGGACTAAGAGTCCCTGATGTAGGGCCACAATGTCCTCTAGGCAGTATGTGCCCATCGGAGCAGTGCCTGGAATACACATGACAGTCAGAGGAAACTAACACACACTTCATAAGAGAGATTTTTTTCATTATAGGGTGTGTGCTGACCAGAGAGACAAAGACAGAGGGAGAGAAAGAGAGAAACCACCCTCCCCCCGGGGGAATGGTCATGCTGCAATCCCTTCTCCTTGAGTCTCATCTCAGGATTTAGGGCACATGCCCAGTGTGAGTTTCAAGTCACCAGGTCCAAGACTTGAACCTTGGAGTTCGACGGTCATGGTCAGCCATGTGTGAGTCCAGAACCTTAACCACTGTGCCACCTGCTGGCCCAATACACACCTCTCTTATGGCAGGTTTAGAAACACCAGCAAAGATGACTTACCTGCCAGAGGCATTCAGGAGATGACCGCTGAATTTGTTATAGCCTTGAGGACCATAATCCCACAGAATCTTTTCAGCTGCTATAAAGTAGTGCTTCTGTGGACCCTTCATCTTGGGGTAAGAAATGCCACCTTTGCAGTTACCAACATTGTATTGCCCCAGCATACCAGCTGCCGAACAAAGGAAAACCATGAGCCAAGGCCTGAGTGCTCACAGGAGAAATCCCACAAGAAAAAGCTAATAGATTTGACCATGAACATTTTTTTAAAGATTTATTTTATTTCATTTATTCATTTATTTATTTTAACTTGATGAGAGAGAGAGAGAGAGAGAGAGTGAGAAAGCAAGTCACCATGTCCAACCATGTCCAAGACTCAAACCACAGTTGGCCATATGGGAATGTCCAGTGCCTTAACCACCATGGCACCTTCTGGTCCCATGATTGTGAACATTTTGAACTTTTGTACAGAAAACATAAACGAAATTTTAAAAGACTAAATGGTGGAGAGGTAGATATTTATAACACATAGGACAAAAGGTTAATATGCAAAGTGACTTTAAAAATAAGGAAGAAAAAAGTTAAACCTCCAATAAAAGATAGGTAGAAGATTGAAGCCCGCAGGTGGTGTGAAGGTTAAGGTGGCCGGATCCCACATGGCTGACTGTGCAGTTTGGGTCCTGGACCAGGTGGACTTGAAAACCATGCCAGGCGCACATGTGTGTGTGTGCCCAAAATCCTTAGAGGAGAATGGAGGAGAAGAGATTGCGGCATGGCCATTCTCCCTCGGGGGGGTTGGGGGGTCACTTCTCACTTTCTCTCTCTCCCTCTCTGTATCTCTCTGGTAAGTACATGTATCCCATAGCAAAAAGGAAAAGAAAAGATAGGCAAGAGACAAACAGATTTTTCACAAAATAAATAACACTAATAAACAAGTAAAACATTCAACCTTAATTGAAATCAAACAACATTGTTCATTAATCAGATAGGTGAATCTTAGAAAGACTAATAATTCTTAGTGTTGGCAGACAAATGGGGAAAGAGGCATGTTCACACATTGCAGGTGGAAGAGTAGCAATTCCTAAAAGGGAATTTGGCAATGTATATCCATATCTTAAAAAAAGAAAAAAAAATCAAACTCAGGACCAGCAGATGGCATAATGATTATGTTGCTGGACTCCCATGTAGTCAACTCCCGTTTGAGTCCCAGACCCAGCAACTTAAAACTCACATCAGGCATGTGTGCATGTGTGCCCAAGATCCCAAGAGGAGACCAGAGGCGAAGGGATTGTGGTGTGGCCATCCCCCCAGGGGGTGATTTCTCACTTTCTGTCTCTCTGTCTCTCTCTGTCTCTCTGGTGAGCACACATGCCCTATAGCAAAAACCTCTCTAAAAGACAAATAAACTCAGGTCAGCCCATGGCATGATGACCAAGGAGCTGGATCCAGCCAGTCATGGCTGACTGTGCAGTTCAAGTCCTGGATGCAGTGGTTTGAAAATGACACCAGAAACATGAGCGAGTGTGCCTGGAAATTCCAAAAGGAGGGAGAGAAGGATGAGGAGGTGGGTTGTGGCATGACCATACTCCATGGCAGTGGGAGTGGGTGCTTTCTTGCTTCCCCTTCTCTTTGGCGAGTGCACACATATGATTTAAAAAATCAAACTCTTTAACCTGAGAATACTAAATCTAGGAGTTTCCCTAAGAAAATGCTTAGACAAAAGTACAAACATATCTGAAAACTGATTCACTAGTTCAGTTTATTATAGCAAAAAAAAATGAGGAAAAATAAAAATGTGCTTAAGCAATAAGGTTTTGTTAAGGAAACTATAATCTTATAATGAACACGCCAGAAACATTAACAATAATGAAGTCTGCCTACCTTTACTGACATATAAATATACTTCTGATATGTTAATAAGTGAGAAAAATACAAGGGGACTTCAGAAAGTTCATGAGAAAATGGGAGTTAAAGTATGGTTTACTTTGGTGCAAAAATGTTTTGAGATTTGGAAATAGTATTTCATAACATACATTTTCCATGAATTATTTGAAGACCCCTTATAAGTTATAGAGTAGATATATAGTATAGATTTTTATTTCCTAAATGATCTATATATTTATAAATAGAAGTACAGAAATAGTGAGGGAGCTTATTCACCAAAGTGTGACATCATTATCTCTGGATGTGTTTGGTGATTTTTTTATTCTTTTTTTTAATTGCCAGAGGGCATAGGCACTTGCCAGAGAACAACAGAGAGACACAGAGAAAGAGAGAGACAAGGACAGAGAGAGACAGAAAGGGAAATTGAGAAAGCATCCCCCATGGGTAATGGTCACACCACAGTCCTTTCTCCTCCATTTCTCTATCCTATTGGAATTCTGGGCACACACACATACATGCCCAGCATGCTCTTTATGCCACCAGGACCAGGATTCCAATCATGGTTGGCCATGTGGAATCCAGCTCCCTTAACCACTAGGCAACAGGGCCAGGCCAAGATCAGTGACTTTAAAATCAGATTATAAGTATTTTCTATTTCTTTACAATACTTTTTTTCTGAGGGTATGGACAATTGAGGAAATACTGCATTTCAACAACTGTAGTACCAACGTATGTTCATAACCACTGGCCAAACGTAGCAGTCTTACAAGTTTCAAAGGAGTGCGAATATCTTGATTTTATGTCTACAGTTTCTTTCCAGATTTCAAAGCATGAGACCCTTTAATAATTTTGGTTTTCCAGAAGACAATCTAGTACATATTATCTGATAAACTTGTGAGTTGACCTTGATTGAAGTAATCCATTGGAGTGATGCTAAGATCAGCTGTGTAAGGTTGACAGAAACGAGAATGGTACCAAAGCAGCCCTGAACAGTTGGGTCTCTGTTTTTGTCAGTGGGTTGGGTATAATTAGTCAGTATCTGAATTTAATCAGACAGTAATTTTTCTGTGTCTACTCTCTAAAAGACAAATAAACTCAGGTCAGCCCATGGCATGATGACCAAGGAGCTGGATCCAGCCAGTCATGGCTGACTGTGCAGTTCAAGTCCTGGATGCAGTGGTTTGAAAATGACACCAGAAACATGAGCGAGTGTGCCTGGAAATTCCAAAAGGAGGGAGAGAAGGATGAGGAGGTGGGTTGTGGCATGACCATACTCCATGGCAGTGGGAGTGGGTGCTTTCTTGCTTCCCCTTCTCTTTGGCGAGTGCACACATATGATTTAAAAAATCAAACTCTTTAACCTGAGAATACTAAATCTAGGAGTTTCCCTAAGAAAATGCTTAGACAAAAGTACAAACATATCTGAAAACTGATTCACTAGTTCAGTTTATTATAGCAAAAAAAAATGAGGAAAAATAAAAATGTGCTTAAGCAATAAGGTTTTGTTAAGGAAACTATAATCTTATAATGAACACGCCAGAAACATTAACAATAATGAAGTCTGCCTACCTTTACTGACATATAAATATACTTCTGATATGTTAATAAGTGAGAAAAATACAAGGGGACTTCAGAAAGTTCATGAGAAAATGGGAGTTAAAGTATGGTTTACTTTGGTGCAAAAATGTTTTGAGATTTGGAAATAGTATTTCATAACATACATTTTCCATGAATTATTTGAAGACCCCTTATAAGTTATAGAGTAGATATATAGTATAGATTTTTATTTCCTAAATGATCTATATATTTATAAATAGAAGTACAGAAATAGTGAGGGAGCTTATTCACCAAAGTGTGACATCATTATCTCTGGATGTGTTTGGTGATTTTTTTATTCTTTTTTTTAATTGCCAGAGGGCATAGGCACTTGCCAGAGAACAACAGAGAGACACAGAGAAAGAGAGAGACAAGGACAGAGAGAGACAGAAAGGGAAATTGAGAAAGCATCCCCCATGGGTAATGGTCACACCACAGTCCTTTCTCCTCCATTTCTCTATCCTATTGGAATTCTGGGCACACACACATACATGCCCAGCATGCTCTTTATGCCACCAGGACCAGGATTCCAATCATGGTTGGCCATGTGGAATCCAGCTCCCTTAACCACTAGGCAACAGGGCCAGGCCAAGATCAGTGACTTTAAAATCAGATTATAAGTATTTTCTATTTCTTTACAATACTTTTTTTCTGAGGGTATGGACAATTGAGGAAATACTGCATTTCAACAACTGTAGTACCAACGTATGTTCATAACCACTGGCCAAACGTAGCAGTCTTACAAGTTTCAAAGGAGTGCGAATATCTTGATTTTATGTCTACAGTTTCTTTCCAGATTTCAAAGCATGAGACCCTTTAATAATTTTGGTTTTCCAGAAGACAATCTAGTACATATTATCTGATAAACTTGTGAGTTGACCTTGATTGAAGTAATCCATTGGAGTGATGCTAAGATCAGCTGTGTAAGGTTGACAGAAACGAGAATGGTACCAAAGCAGCCCTGAACAGTTGGGTCTCTGTTTTTGTCAGTGGGTTGGGTATAATTAGTCAGTATCTGAATTTAATCAGACAGTAATTTTTCTGTGTCTACCCCACTGATGCTTTTTTTTTCTGTTCTTGTTTTCACCATCTCAGGGCAGACCATTTGTATGTCATAATGTTAATGCTGCCAGCTGCCAATGCTTCTTTTGTTGTTTAGGTTTTTGTTAAAGGGCACATGCGCTCACTGGAGAGAGACAGGGAGAGGGAAAGTGAGAAATCACTCCCCAGGGGGAATAGCCATGCCACAGTCCCTTCTCCTCCATTCTCCTTTTGGGATTTTGGGCATGCACTCACATGTGCCCAGTGTGATTCTTAAGCTGCTGGGTCTGGGACTTACACCACAGCTGTCCATGTGGGAATCCAGCTCCTTAACCACACCACCTGCTGGCCCCTGCCAATGCTCTTTAACTAGCATCCAGTGGCCAGAATTTCTCCATCGGAGCCTTTCTGCACATGCATATCAGAGTCCCCTTCCTGAGTTGCTGTGTTGGTTGTGTCAGTAGTGCGCCTAAGAATGTATAGACTCGGGAACCAGCAGTTAGCGTAATGGCTATGTCGCTGGACTCCCACGTAGTCGACCGCGGTTCGTGTCCCGGACCCGGTGGCTTAAAAAACTCACGCCGGGCGCGTGTGCATGAGTGCCCAAGATCCCGAGAGGAGAATGGAGGAGAAGGGATTGCGGCGTGACCATCCCCCCGGGGGGTGATTTCTCGCTTTCTGTCTCTATGTCTCTCTCTGTCTGTCTGGCGAGCGCACGCACCCTACAGTGAAAATCTCTCAAAAAAAAAAAAAAAAAAAAAAAAAAAAGAAAGAATGTATAGACTCAAGGGGCCAGATGGTGACACAGCAGTAGAACACAATGCTCTGCAGTGCACAAAAGACTCCCCCAACAGCAGGGTGAGCACTGCTAACTGACATTTAAGTGTACCAGTCTAAGCATCTCTGCACAGGTCTTTGTCCTTCTTACCTTGCAGGTGGTCGCTGACTTGGCAGGTTATCATCCACTTCCCAGGATTCTCAACTATCATTTCTGCGGTGAGGAAGGTGGCTGGGAACAGGTTGACCACATCAGTCCGATGCCCTCTGCTGATGAAGGTGTTACCATAAAAGTAGATGGAATGGATGTCTATCTCATTCCCCATTCCAAACAGGTGCCAAGACACGGATTCACCCACGCACATGTTAGGTTCAGGGAAGTTTCCAAAGAGGTATCCATTGAGGGCTGAAAACAGAAACATATTATGGGAGATACTCCCCTGCATATGCAGAGGGGACCAAGACTATTGGTAACAGCACTGTAACACAGACGGAAAATCAATGCTGAACATTAATTAGGATGATTTTGGGCAGAAAAGCCTGGCTTTTAAAAAGATAAGAGAACGTCTCAGAAAGGAATGATGTAAAGCTTAGTACTGGCCTTTTTTTGAGAGAAAGGCACTGTGACGATGAAGGTCTGCACACTCTGTAAACAGTCTTGGAGCTGCTGCGCGAACACAGTAATGAAGCTAGGAGTGAGCAGATCAGAGCGCTCTCCTACTTCCGGGAGGGCTTGTCAGTCACCTCCTGTCCTAACCCTGCATTTGCACATCAGCTGTCTCCACCAGACTCTTGGAACTAGAAATCCTGTCTAGCTTATCTTGTAACTATAAGGGACCTAGCAGAAAAAAATGGTACATACAAACTACTACATAAGTGACAAAAGCATGCAACAAAATAGAAAGAATGGAGTTGATTACAAGGAGCTTAAAAGCATGTTTATGTTTTGTTCCGTTAAAAAGCAGGGAGACGGGAGGGACCAGCAGGTAGCGTGGTGATTAAGGTGCTGGACACTTCCTCATGTCCAACTGCGGTTCGAGTACCGGACCTGGTGACTCGCTTTCTCACTTTCCCCCTCTCTCTCTCTGTGTATCTCTCTCTCGTCAAATTAAAATAAATGAATGAATAAATAAAATTAAATAAATAATTATTTAAAAAAAAAAAAAAAAAGGCAGGGAGAGGGCTAGCCTGTGGCTTGGTGGTTAAGATGGTTGAATCTCACATGGCCCTGAAAAACATACCAGGTGTGCACGTGTGCATGCCCAAAATCCTAAAGGGAGGGAAAAATGTAGAAAAGATTGTGACGTGACCATGCCCCATGGAGGGTACTTTCTCACATTCTCTCTCTCTCTCTCTTTCTCTGTCTCTCTCCAGTGAATGCACATGATCTCCAGCAAGAAAAATAAAGGAAGGAAGGAAGGAAGGAAGGAAGGGAGGAAGGAAGGGAGGAAGGAAGGGAGGAAGGAAGGAAGGAAGACCGACCAACCCGCAGGGAGAGAAAAAGCAGTATTTATTAGATGTTGCTTGGGGCAGAATCTTATCAATGAACTTAGACTATACACCACCCAAATGGCAACTGAGATGATCGAATGCAGAAAATAACTTGACTCAGGGCTTTACAAAGCCCCAATATTCCATCTTAAATTCAAACTGAATTAAGAAGCAATGGTTACTAAGATAATAGTAATTTAGGTAGTATAATGAATTCTAAATAACTTTAGTAAATTTTAATAAAACAATCAATACATCTTGTATCTTTTATAAATTAGTTTTTATTCTTTCAAGTTTAATTGTTTTTTCTACAGATAGGTCTCCCTGGGCAGTCTTGAAGGATTGCTGTTTGCAAACCCCTGCTTTTCTATACAGGCTGTACGTGAGCTGCTGAAACGTAAACCTTCACAGTTCAGAGTTTTCAGCAATATCTGAGGTCATTGCTCCTATTTTGTAAAGAACGGAAATAAAACTTTTCACACCAATGATTTGAATTTAGGTCCTTATTTACTTCATCCTACGTATTTTCTCTGCCTACTTTCTCTCCTCTTTCTTTCTTCCCTGCTAAAATGCTTTCCAAGCAACACTACATATAAGGCTGCTGAAATATCACTAAAGAGAAAAGAGAGGGCATGAGATACAGCGGATCTTGTCATGTACTCTCCCAGTGTGCTTCAAGGTGCTTCAGAATCAAACACGGCCAAATCAACATCCATTTGCCATGAGACTTCTCTGTCAAGCAATGATGGCACTCATTATCACCTTGACATTAAGCAAGTCATCTCTTTTTTTTTTTTTCATGGTCACAAAATTTTAAGAGTTTAATCCTAAACATTACAGGGTAAATCGATATTGGACCCTATCTCCATGTCCATTAAATCCTAACTTTTTAGTTTCCATTTTAAATGTTGCCCTAACCACTAAAACATTAGTGGTTTTACAACCTCTGGATTATGGAAATACATATTTCTGAGATAAATGCTACAAAAACAATGGAAGAAAGCTGAACAAACTGTCTCCATGAAGGAAAAAAAAAAAAAAACAGTGGAATATTTTGAAGCCTTTAGATACTTCTCTTTCCATGTCTTATGATAAACTTGTCAATTCAGTGCATCTGCATCATATGGTCAAATGTAATGGTCCCCAGGTTGAACAAGACATCTAACTAGTGTCCATTGATTCCAAGTGAGTGGATGATGAATCTTTTTGGATACTTTCAAAAATAGCTGCCAGCTCAGGGTTAGAACTCATCTGTGACTGGAATTCACTCATCAGTGGACTCTTCTCTGCTTCTGGAATGGTTAGTGGTGCTGCTACTGCTCTCATGGCAGATCACTTTAATTCATCTTGTTTTTCAAATTCCTGCCTTACTGAGTTTGCCTTTACCTTAGTTGTACATGTGGCACGTAATGGCTCAACAAGTCGGTTCAGCCTCTGCAGTACTGCACTTGGACACAGGGTAGAGAGTCTCACCAATATTAAAAATGTCAACATCTTAATATCATAATGGTTCTTCAAACCATCTTCAACATGATTTAGAAATTCAAAGATATCTAGTCTATCAAGACAACTGTCCAAAAGTGTGTACATACACTCAAAAGCTGCCTTTCTAATATCCAGACCGTCATCAACTGTATGTTTAAAAGGACCCATTTCTACCTCTCTTATAAGCTCCTTTCTAACTTTTGTTTCATTGTAAAGATGTGGAAGAACAGTATCCAGAAGATCCCTTATCAATAATGGTTTGTTATGTGCTGCAGAATTGAATGTGATCAAGGCTACTCTTCTTACATTCAAATCTGGGTCTTCCAAAGTTTTTAGGAAATCACCTATACAGTTCTTTAACAGTGGATCGATAAGTTGTGGATGATCTGAAATACTTCAAGCTGTAACCACCAAGCTTCGGGCATATGATGAGCCTGATATCAAGTACCCCTTAAGCCGGGGAAGGAGAGTTTCAGGATCAATTAGTGTGAGTTTTCCTAGACATTCAGCAACATTTCTGGTTCCTTCCTCTGCACACTCACAGTGCTTAAGTAATAAGGCCCAGATGTTTTCAACATACGGTTTAAGGCCCACCACTGATGCAGAACTAATAATTTCCTTCAAGGAATGAAGTAGAAGATACTGCCTTTTGGGTTGACTGGTTATTTCTTGTAAGACAAATGACAGATATTCAGGAAGGTTGCCAATACTAATGCTGCCTAGTGCATAGGATGCAGCTGATTTAACTTCCTCACTGGGAGATGAGAAAGCTTCTAATATTACAGATTTTAGTTCCAACTGCCCACTTAAGTCAATATGATGCCCAACTCCTCCAAGAGAAAGTAGAGCTAAGAGACGAATGGAATCTGTAGACTTTGAGTTCTTGACATCTTGAATAAACTGACCTACTACAGCTGGTCCCTCTTTAGGGCATGCCCAAGTAAGGGCAGCCACACATTTGGCAATAGAATAATAAGACTGCTTATGAGTAAGAGCTGTCCTCTGGGAGTAAACTGGGCCAGTCAGCATGCGCAACAAATCCATGTATCCTAGATTATTTGTTCCAGTGACAACCAGGGCTTGGAAAAAGTCTAACATGGCACTAAGAGCTCCCCCTTGCAATAATGGTGATCTCGCAAGTCCAATAAGTTCATTGAGAATGAATCCACTTATCTTTGAAAGGGACGAGGGATATACTTTTGCCAGGGTAGTAAGAAAACTGATAGCCATCTGTGAAACATGCATATCACTTTCACTGATAAGAGGTGGTAGCTCATCTAAAACTGCATCAATCATGGAAACTGTCAAGCTGTCATTATAGTTTTTAATTAAAATAGCGAGGGCAGACAGGGTACCTAGTTTCAAAGCTCTCTGGTTTTTCCTGAGAAATGAGGCAAGGATAGGAACCCCTTCTCCAAGGACTGGCCTCAAATCTATCTTCAAAGGTGATCCAGCAATCAGTGTCAATGCCTTCACTGTAGTTAGCCGGGTAATTTCATTCTTCAGTCTCTCCAAGAAAATCTGAAGTGTATTAGGCAAGTCAGAACCTAAACTGTCCCGAAGGTTGCAAATAATCTGTCCCATACAGGAAATAGCCCTTTCCTTGACTTCTTGATCAATGTCAGCTGCTTTTAACCTCTTAATGGTACAGGTAAATAAATCTTTGATGTAAGGAGTTGCGTCAAATGAAGAAGGCTGATCTAAAGGACGGATTACTTTGACAAGCTGCTGAGTAACGAGAAGTGCTTCAGATGTAATCTTGTAAAATGGGTCTCCAACACAAGCCACCACTGGAGGGACCAAAGCCTGAACGTGAGGATGGAAGACTTGAAGAGAGTGGTTACAGAGGATTACATACAGACACGACAAAACATCTATCTTCAAATTTGATGAGCTTGATTTATCATTCAGTGAGAAAATGATTCCTGGTACGAGTACAGGAACGTGTTGTGTTAGGGCTCCAGGAAATACATTTACCAGTTCAGTTAACATGTTAAAGCAACACTGTCGGGTCTTCACACTTTTTTCTTTCATCTGTTTGTGCAGAGCTTTAACAATGTTGGGAACCTGACTCTGAAGCATTGTTAAAGGTGTTTCTCCCTATTCCATTGCATCAGGGTCACAAAACCAACTCTGTACAGGACGAGTTTGCTTCCAAAGAGAAAGGTATGCATGAAAAACATCTGCCTTTACATTCTCTTCACGCTCTTTAAACCTGGATATCAGTGCAGGAGAGACGGTCTTGCAGAACTCTGGGAGCATTTCATGCCTTGTGCTAACTACAACATCCAAGCACTTAGCAGCTGCACGTCTCACTTTCCAACTCATGTCATCATCATCACTGTATTCATCATCACTCCCTTGATCATCATCAGCAGCACCAATCAGCATCCATAGCATTTTCATCTTCATCTTCATCATCATAATTATAATTTGGATCATAGGTAAGATATTTAAGACAAATATTTATAATAGTAGACACATGAGGATATACTTCCTTAGGAAATCTTCTCACAAATGACTCGAAGGCTTGAATGCAGTACTCTCTTAACTCATCATCATCTACATTACAAAATTTTACCACCAAAGGAATTATCTTCTCAAGGTATTCACCTATTCTATGACCAGCTTGCCTACACTAATAGCAGCAATACACTGGATGTAGGTTCTTGTTGTTGACATGGAATCATTTTGGACAACTCTGACAACAGATGTTCAATACGATCTACAAAAACTATATTTCCGCAGCTCATAACCAGATGGCCAAGAGCGATGATGGTTCTTTTCCTCACTGCAAGTCTAGGGCTTATCAACGGGGGGAGAAGAGAGGTCAGAATTGAAGGGTGGAAATTAACAAGAAGTCCTCCTTGACTGCTCAACATATCAGCCATAATATCCAAAGCTTCTAACTGAACAGAAACATTTTCTTACTTTGCTATTGCACTGGTGAGACGTCCAGTAATCTTTTTACATACATTAGCAGCTAATGCAGAACCACTGGAAGCTGGAGGAAGCTCTCCAATTACTGTCTTTAAGGCCAATACTTGAAATATCTCGAAGTCGTTCTTTATCAGAAAGCGTATTAGTACACAGGGTATCTACAATTGTCTCTACTTGATATTCTTTCACTTTACTTACTAAAGGCCCAAGGCATTTGACAGCTAAATTCTGTACCTCTCCATTTTTATCTTCTGGTAACTTCAAAATCATTTTTACTACTTTCCTTTCACTATCATCATCCAACTTGATGGAATCCTTTTGTAGTTCTGTCATTAAATCATTTGTAGCCATAAACCTAAAGTCCTTGTCGCTGGATGTCATTTTTTCCAGCCAATTGGGAATGTGC